CATTCCTGTGGCAGTATTCCCACCACATTTCAGGAGAAAAGTTGACTAAAGTCAATTTTGTTTTAAACACCGGAGATAAGATAAAATTTTATAGCGTCTGCAGCGGATCTCCAGGAGAAATATTTGTGACGTTGCTTTACTTGGTATTGGATATCAGTGATAAACAGCTGGTTTCCAAATACTGAATTTGGTATATAGTAGGTACTAGCCTTCTTTTTTACAAGCTGTTAGTAATTGGCTGCTCTTTAGGGCTGCCACAAATCTGGGTATTTCAGACCCTTTTTAGTCCTTCCCCTGCCTGCCACGTGCTGTCTGGGCAAGCGTTGAGGCCGTTGGGCAGGCGGATACTGATAGCCGGGCCAGGTCGCCATTCCCCCTCCAACCCTCGCACATGTCTGCGGCCTATGTTTTCCTTCTTCTCAGCTTTATCAGCCTGCATATTTTCAGATTAAAACTTGCTTTTTTCTCCCAGTTCTGGAACCTGTAGGTCCTCCCATCACTTGCGGCTAGTCTTCAGAAGAAAATGCCAGCTCCCAGGCCAAGTTCATGCAGCAGTGCAGGACATGGGGCAAGGGTCTCTCGCTGATGATCTGATCTAATTGTCCATTTCTTATTTCTTAACTGACAGCGAGCTGGGTTTGATTTGTTCGGCTAAAAGTTGAGGTGCGGTGTAGCCCACGGTCTGCCTGCAGCCTGCCCGACCTGCCAGCAAGTTCAAAATCATCAAGGGCTGGACAAAATATCACAGACTCTGCTATCTTTGGGAGGTGTCCAGCACTGAATCTGTGTGCAGGAGCCAGGCTCCATCTCAATGTCTCTCTTTTCCTCTAGGTCTAGAAGAAAAAGCGGTTCTTTCCAAAAAAGAAAAAATGAAGCTGAGGAAAGAAAGGTGGCTACAGAGTAAGTACTTCTCCGAAACATGGTGGTACTGTGGGCATCACTGAGTGTGGTTCTGTTGGATCCCTCTGCCCAACACTGCCACCCACACCCCATGTACAGTGCCAGGGGAGGCTGAATGCTTGTCAGAAACCTTCACATCCTGCTCCCCAGCACATGGGCTAAAAGTCCCAGATATTGTTTCTCAGTGTTTAGCACCGAGATTGAGTCATTGCCCCAAATCTACTTTTGATCTTCCTCCATGTGTAATATAAGTGACTACATAAAACCTTTATTTATCCAGATAGGACACTGTCCCCATGTAGGCTTAGCATGTTTCTCTGTCTTTTAAAGCTCTGGTACAGATATGACTAGCTGTATAGTGGAGCTCCTCCTCCCTGAGGAGCTGTGGGGACAGTAGGACAGCCTGGAGCTGAGCCCCATACAGCCACCAGCTAATCCCAAGGCTCTGTGATGAAAGCCTGCAGTGGGCCCTCCTGCCCTTCAATAAGGGAAGTCTCTGGACGCTGCTGGTTGTGTTACTGCTCTTTCCCACATGCCACAGGTCAGTAAACCCACTTGCCAGACAGTCTGGCCTTTCTCGAGGCTGTGAAATACGAGCTAAACAAAACCAGCCCAATGCAGAAATGCTTCTGTTTCCTGTGGGAAGTGTCTGTATTTTTGCTTTGAGTATCTCAGCACAGCAAGAGATGATGCTGTGCTACCCGCTGTAGCAGAGGGATTCCTCTTGCCACCTGGAGCTGTTCTTGGGACAGGCTTTTCTGCCCAACAGAGTTGCTGACAGACTGTATTTGGGGCTGAGGGACGTGGCTTTCTGCTACCATATGCTCTCTGCTCCTGAGCTCTGAGCTCAAGTCCATCAATGCGTGATTTCACCAGTCGCAGTGAAGGTATCTCTGGCTCCTCTTACATAAAAAGCTGATAATTTAACACCGTGAGTGTGAAGGAAGCCTCCTCCCTATCACCAACCAACAATTTCCAAGTGTCTTTGACATCTGCAACCCTCGGTGTCACTGTTGGGCACAAAGCATAGATGTGCTAGTCCTAACGTCTGACCTGCCGGCTGCAATTTCGGTGCTCCTAAAGGTCTAGAGGCAAATACCAGCATTCCCTAACAAATGCTTTGCTGAGGGTAGCAAGTAACCGGGGATTTCTGTAAGAAAAGTCGGCAGGTGTTAGTACCAGGTGTGCAGCTTGTTATTGAGAAAAATGAAATAGCTGGGAAGAGCCTATATAAACATGAATAAAGAAACTGATATTATTATTATTATTAGCTGATGGAGCGAAATGAACAGGTATTTCCAGAGATGGAGATTTTTAAATGAAACTTGGCATTCTAACAGTGTGACCTTAAAGAGCTGCAGTCAACTGAAACACATTGATTTTTATCTGATGCAGATAATTGTGCCAATTCTTTGTGGGTTTTGCAGTCTTTGCCCCCCAAAAGAGAACCCAACTTGGACTGCTGAAGTTGTTATCATTACATCTCTGTTTTCCTAAATCTTCCCAAGTTTGTTGTTTCTTCTTGTCCCAGGGCTGCTTTTGTGACACTGGATGCCAAGACCCTGGGAACTGAAGTTCAGCTCAGTAGTGCAAGCGCAAAACTTTGAGATTTCTTCCATTCTAATAAATCATCTCAGGAGAGACTAGAGAGGGAAAAGAATTATGTAATGCTTCAGACATTAGAAGTATGCACATTTAAAAATACATATATCGCATGGCTCCTCAGACGAACAAGACTTCATAGGAAAAGAATTTGGGATGTTTGTGCAGAATCAGGTGTCTGAAAATTTTGAGCACATACTGTTTATGAAAGGACTGAAGTACTCAGCTTCATAAAGCCAGACCAAAAAAAGAAGTGTTGCAGAACAGAAAGCTGTGTTCTTGGCAGGGATTGCTGTGAGGAGAGGCGTTTACAATCCAGATTTGTCACAAACATCCATGTACAGCAAAATTGCAGTTCATGAAAAACTGTTGCTCTTCGACTCAGCTGAGTTGGGGAGCGAATAAGACAAAGATATTAAAGGAGCCAGCAGCTAGCCAGTGAATTTGAGTTCTGCTTTCTTGAATGTGGGCTGCAGGATTAGACTCAAAATTGCAGGTGGCATCTTGCCTGCGGTCTGTAGAATGGGACTGGCTGCTTTCGTGTTCCCACTAAAAATACTTGTGCTGATTTAGTTCTGCTTCTGTAGCCATGCTGCGTTGGAAGCTGTTGGCCTCCCTGTGTCACCAGCTTGGCCCCACGGCTTCTGACACTGTGCTCCATCATGTCCTCCATCAGCGCTGAGGCTCGTCCTTGCAATACGCTAATTGTCCAAGGCAATAAGCAGAAGCCTGCTCTTCTGCTGAGCCTCTGCTGGGTGCACGTGGAGGAGGTGGAGTCCTCCATCATGTACCCCACAGCACTGGTACCCCTCGTGGGTGTCAAGGCAATGCAGTGGAATTCCAGGCCTGGTGATTACCTGGCAGAAGGAAAAGGAGCTCCTGGATCCTGCTGAGCTCTAGCTGTTTCTGGTGGCATCGTCAAGGGACTTCTGGGATAGGTTGGGGCATCTTGGAGCTCAGCTGGAGGCTTGTAGCAGTGCTGGGCTTTTCTGGGCTGTCCTGGAGGAGAACACAGGAGTTCTGCTGGGGCTCGCCCTGGAGGCTGGCTCTCTAAGGCTTGGGCAGCTGCAGGACCTATTTCTACACCAGGGAGCCTCGAGCACTGAGGCAGAAGCCTGCAGCTTTCAATGCCCACCCTCCATGGCCAAGAAGGGAGACTGCTGTAATGTTTATAGAGCTGTATGCGCCCACAGCCTTGCTCAGAGCTGCTGCAGGGAGACTGGTAAACATGGTCTTGAGGAAAAGCCAGCTGACCCCGTGTCTGCCACTTGATGCAGTACTTTTCTAAGGACCCAATTTATCCAGCATCTGGCTGCTTGAGCTCCACCATGAGTCACGAAGGTGAGACCTTGACTTGCTCCAAACTAAGTAAACAACTGAAATTAAGTCCATCTTTTCTGCCTGTGCTATGAGACCATTGCTTTGTCCCAACAGCAAAGCAGAGATGGGGCTGTGACTGTTTAATGACACATGCGGAGCTTACTGTATTTGGTTTGTCCCTTCCCCTCTTGTTTCTCTCTCCTAATTCCATGCAAAGTCAGCATGTTTTTTACCACCCCAGGACTCCTGTGCCATGTTGCTGTGAGCAATGAACAGTGCAAGGGATGGAAACAGTTCAGACAACATCAGTCTGGGGATTTCACTTCCCATTGCAAATGTCAGTAGAGATGTATATAATTATAAGCAAATACAGCAAGGAAGGGAACTACCCAGCTGCATTATTTTCAGTCGTTCCCTGGTTTAAATCACTTCTGGCCTGTTGTTCCTGTAGATGGTGAAGCAGCCTATGACTTTCTTAGCTCAAGGGTTCTCTCTTGCAAATGCTTCCACTTCCTCCAGTAATGTCTTGTTTCTGATTCAGAAATAGAAAGTGTGAAGCTAGCCAAACAGAAGCAAAAAGCTGAAGCAAAGCGGAAAGCAACACCTGTGGTGGGAGACATGCAGCCGTTGATGGAAGCCCTACCTGAGCTCTCTGACCTGACCACAGGTGGCAGGGGCAGGAAGCCACCCAAGAGGTATGTGCCATTTAGGGATGGGCTGTGTATTTCCCTTCTTCCTGCACGATGAAGTGCCCTTCAGCTCAGCTTGTAGCTACAGGCAATGCAAGCTCAGTGCCAATGGTCAGGAGAACAGGCCCTCATTCTCAACTCCATTTCGCCCCTTTCCATGCTTCACTCGCCGCAAGAAAAAAAGCTTAAAGGTCACTTCTGAATCCACAGCTAAGAGTGTTGCTCAGATGAGGCTTGGCATAGGACAGGCTGGGAACAACCAGATGTCCTGGGAATTGCAGGAGTGACACACAGGTGTCCAGAGTGTAATGCTGCTGAGCTCACCTGAGAATCTGGACTTAAGGTGTCGCAGCCTGCTGTTCTGTCCTTCCAGACCTCCAGGCTTTCTCCTGAGGCAGTTCAAGCTTTACGCTCTGGCCAGACTCTTTGTTTGCCCCATTGGCTTGCAGTGTGACTTTGGACAAGAACAGAAAGATGGTGTTTCTGTTCCCTTTGTCGTACTGAAAGAGAAGGGCTATTTCTGATCCTCTGACAGCCGCGTGTCAACCATCCCAGCCAGCCGTAGGGTGGGTTCTGGTTGCCCTTATGTTTTCTCCTTTTTAATGCAGTGCTCTGCCTGACCATCCGGTCAGTGTTGCAGCTGCTTCTGCATCCCCCAGTGCAGAATAAAAGTGCTCTGTGCGCTGCACAAATGCTTGTCCCTCCTCTCCAGTTGCTTAGTAGGGGTTGGAACTACAAACTTGTTTTGACCATAATAAGAAAGCATTTGGATTAGAGAACAGCCAAGAAGGCGGCTGTCTGGCAAAGCACCCTCTTCTTTGGTTGCAGATCAAGGCTGGAGATACCATGAACCCTCTTGTGACTTGCTGGATGCCCCAGAAATAAACTCTGACCCAGGTGGGACACCCACCTACAGAGCATGGCTGAGTTGGCAGTTCCCTGTGCTTCTGGAAAGTCACTCCTCAGACAAACAGCATCTATGAACCTTGCGTCTAAGCATGGGAAAATATTTCCTTCCTTAACTTGGCTTCTAATTCTTTGAATAGCACTTTTTTTCTTTTTTTTTCTTTATGCAGCCATTCAGTCAGCCTGCCCTCTCTTTCAGTGGGAATGAACAGCAAAAGTACATGCACAATTTCAAGTCTTGCAGAGCACTGAGGGTTGGTTGGATGGAGTTCTGGGCCAGGGCTTAGCCTGAGCCTGAATAGGTGGCTTTGCCCTCTTTCTGCGACGATGTGCCACAACTACATGTGGCATCTGACTCCAGGTTGTGTTCAGGAATCATTCCCTCTAATCATTTTCCCCCAGCCTCCTTGGTGGCTGAACCCCCACTCTCTATCCAGGAGAGTGGGTTACAGAAAGCTTGTATAGGGGAGGGAGGACAGATGGGGTGCTTCCTTTGGGGATTGCTTTCCTGGGTGGCTGCATAATCTAGTAAAAATACACGGTGTTGCTGCAGCCTGCAATTCTGAACCAGCTCAAAAGATAGAGTAGAACTGGAAAAGGCACAGAGATGGCTGACAAGGATGACGATGGAGGACCTGGCACAGCTTCTGCGCAAGGGGTGACTAAGTGAGCTGGGGAGTCCTCAGCCTGGACAGGAGATAGAGGCAAAGAGGCTTGGGAATGTAATAATCTATAATATCAAATGTGATGTGGTTAGGAAGTAGTTCATCCTCTTTTCCAGTATGAGAAATAAAGGACATCAAACATAGCTAGCGAGTAGCCAGTTCAGTGCAAGCAGAAGGCTCACTGCTCTGCACAGCTCCTTGTGGGAGGATGTCATGGCTGAGGGAAACTTGTGGGTTCAGGTAAGACCTGATGAATCCAATGAGGAGAGCTCCATGGAGGGTTACTACATGTATATAAACTGCAGCAGGTACAAAGTCTCTGAGTTGCAAATACTGGAGAGGATGTGGCTATACGCTTGCCTTGGTCTTATCCCTCTCTGGCCACCTACTGCAGGCTGCTTCAAAGCAGAACACTGGCGAAAATGGTCCTTCCAGCTACTGCAATCACTCTTCTCTTCTGTAGTACGCTTCATGGCAGAGGATGTGTGGCACACGTGGAAGCATTCAGTGGTCTTGCACGAATCTCCAGCCTGAGAGAGCCTTCCTCAGAGAAGCGCTGTCAGCTCCCTCTCTCTCCAAACCCAGACCTCCTGTGGGAGTGTGGCAGCCCTTCTCTCCTTTTGGAAGCCTGAGCTCGTACTCTGGCTCCGTTTTCCCGTGGGTGTCTAGAAAGCCCAGTGGGCCTGTGGCACAGAAGGGTAGAGAAGCCCCGTGCTGGCTGAGAGTTTCAGGATTGGCCAGCACCATCTGCAGTCAGCACAGCAGAGGTGGGAGCTTGGCATTGACTCATGTCACCCAGGTAGCCTGTGACATGCCAACCAAAAAGCAGTCCCTCTACTGGCACGGAGGAGCTACAGTGCTCTTCTTCCTTTGCTGGCTTGTAGCTTCCTGAACTGCGTGAGGATGTGTGTGCATAAGTGTTTGAAATAATCAGAGGAGGCTTTTATAGGATTTGAATCATTACATAAATGAAGGGTAATACTCTGGTGATTTGTCAGCATTATTAATAAAAGATTAGATTCTCCAGGAATTTGATCTCCTGCTGGGTAAGAGAGCATTACAGTGAGGTTTTTATTCTGTTTTATAATGAATGAAGGCAATGAAGTGTAATGAAACAGGGCTACTAACATGGTCCAAGTGAGCAGGCAGCATGCTGGTGGTTTGGTGGGGGAAATTCAGGCAGCAGCCTTTCAAACCTGCCAGACCAGCGGGGCAGAGCTGTTGAGTGGAACTGAAAAGCCTTCAGAAGCACCGAGCCCTTTAAAATAGTGGGGTGGCTGAAAGCAGAAGTGGGCTTGCACAGCCTGAAGCAGCCACACGCCCTCATGGTGTGCTGCAGAGGAAGCTGTCCTGAGAGGCACAGCCTCGCGGGCACATGGTCTTGTATGGCCCCGGATGTACTCTAGAAAGGCTTTCCTTTAAGCATTGTCACCCTCTGCAGAGCTACTCATCTTTGAAGGGACTGCCATGGCAACTTCGTGGCACACTTGGCAAGCCCCTTGGTGACTGTGGGTTGCCATCCAACTTGAGAAGGCATTTCTCTGTGCTTCTGTGAGCGATCCTGGCAAACTGGGACAAGAAATTGTTCCTGTGCCAAGCAGTTAACGGACATGAAGAGATGCTTCCTGCTCTTTCTGTGTCTTGCAGTACCAGTGGATGCAGCAGTGTGACAGGAGCTGCTCGAACCCCTGTAGCTGTTTGTCTGCTCTTGCTGATCGCCATTCTTTGTGAGCTCTCAGGCCTGTTGTGTTATGCCGGCAGTGCTGGGGTGACCTCGAGAGGGACTGAAGGGTACAGGAGCAGCGCGCAGGCATTGATCTGCCTGGCTGCCCTTTCCTGCACAGGCTCTGTGCTGCGAAGGCTGGCTGACATACTTCCACGCTGTTTGGGTTTGTCTGGGTTGGCAGGGAGCTTTGATGCTGGGGCACGCTATGCTGGGATGACGGTAAATCAGATGTGATTGGGGCAGTGGTGAGAGCAGCCCTCAGCAGCTTGGGTCCATCAGGATCCCCCTTGAAGAAAAATAAAATGGGCCAGGATGGGGAGAGGGAGAGATGAGGAAAAGCTAATCGAGTAGAGAGGGGTGATTAAAGTGAGTGGGGTGAAGGAATATGGGGCAAGGGAGGAGGAGGAGGAAAGGAAGAATGGGGAAAAAAATGCAGAATAAAAGGATGGAGGGTAGCGGGTCAGAGAGGGAAATAGGAAGAGGAGGTCACTGTAACACTGCCAACAAGAGACCAGATCCTGCCATCTTGAAGAGAAGGTGAGGGTCTGCCATGTTTCCTAACCTTGAGAAAGCTGAAGGACGCTGGGACAGATCAGGTGGGGGAGGCCCTGGCCCCCAGCACCCACCAGTAAGGGAAGATTCTTCCTTGAGCCCTGCCCCAACTGAGGGGTGGGACGCAGACCCTTTTTCCCCCGTTGGGCTGTGTGCTGGGGCTCAGCCCCAGGGCAAATCGGAGGGGAGCTGCTCTGCGGAGGCAGACCCTCTTCCCCACTTGCTTCTCCTGTTTACCTCTGTATCTGTGTACTCCTGAAGAATGGAAGTTTCTTCTCATTTCCTTAATGTCCAGTTCTACCAGCGACTCCCCTTCTGCACTTCAAGTCCCCAAAGCAGTTGCTGCCCTTCCTGCGCGTCCCTTGCTTGGGCTCAGTGCTTAGCTTTGTAGTAAATCTCTGCTGCTGCTTGGCATCGGGCATCACGTGCTTCCAGCATCCTGTGCAGGATGGGATTACGCCTATGGTCTCCTTGGGCTTTGCCTAGGAATAAGAAATGGGTGCAGAGAGTGCAGGGCCTGTTGCGACAAGGACAAGGGGGAATGGTTTTAAACTAAAAGAGGGTAGATTTAGACTAGATATAAGGAAGAAATTTTTTACAACGAGGGTGGTGAAACACTGGCACAGGTTGCCCAGAGAGGTGGCAGATGCCCCATCCCTGGAAACATTCAAGGTCAGGTTGGACGGGGCTCTGAGCAGCCTGATCTAGTTGAAGATGTCCCTGCCCACAGCAGGGAGGTTGGACTAGACCTTTAAAGGTCCCTTCCAACCCAAACCATTCTATGATTCTCTGACCTATGCTTGCTGCTGTGCCTCAGCTCTACATAGTGCACCATCCTGCATTCCCATGAGTCCGTCTTCTTGCAACTTCATGGGTTCTCAAAACCTATGTTTGGTGGCAAAAGCTGAAGCTCTGTTGTTGTGCTTTCTCTTTAGTTAATCTATTTGCAGCTGACTTAAACTGGCAAGCCTTTGGCGAGGATATGTGTTCACAGGGAGAAAGGAATATTGCCATTCTTTATCTTAAAATATAAATTACACCTTACACCCCAGTGGTCCCATTGCACAACTCGAAGCAGGGCTGGCAGTTCCCTCTTCTTGCTGAGTAACCGCGGCACTGTCTATAACGGATGTCTGCTGATGCTGGAGCTCGGCAGCCTTAGCAAGGAACATGAGATGTGCAGAGGTGACGTGTGCCTGGTGGTGAGGGTAAATTCGATGGGATCTTTTCTCTAAGCAACAGTGTCAGTTTGACCTGGAGGTTAGTGATAAACAGAAAGTGATCTGGGCATGGACAGCTCATGACCAATTCCAGAACTAAGTGATCCGATTTTTCTTTAGTGCATTTACCTCCTGCCCATTCAGTCCTAACTCCTGAGCTGTTGTCAGTGTGTGGCAGAGTTTGCATATCCATTACTGTCTGGCTATGGAAATAATTGCCTTTCAGGACAATTTCCATACAGGACAATTACCTACACTTTCTGGGAAGGCAGATGCAGAATCCCTGGACTCTTTCCATCTCCACAGTAACTGCTAAATTACTGCTCCTCTATAACACTTACTCACTTCTTTTGTTTCTTCTTTCCGCAGCTATGTAAAAGCAAAGGCAGAACCAGCAGACTTTTGTCTGATGAAACAAGCTCAGAAACGCCGGCTCTTGTAAGTACCCAGTTATCAGTGTCCAGTCCCTGCTGAGCATTAGAGAATGGTTGAGACTGGAAGGAACCTCTGAAGGTCAGCTGGTCCAACCCCCCTGCTCACGCAGGGTCACCTAGAGCTGGTTGCCCAGGACACAGGCACGTGTCCACACGGCTTTTGAATATCTCCAAGGATGGAGATCACACAACCTCTCTAGGCAACTAGTTCCAGTGTTTCCGTCTTGTACACCTGAAGGCCCTAGAAGAAGTGGCAGCTTTGATTTTCTCCTTTACATAGTGCAGGATGTTTGTGGGTGTCCTTCTGTCTTAGTCCCTACCAGACTCAGTCAATTCTAAATGGATTCAGTCTGCTTCCGCTTCTGTCTCGTATAAAATCTAAGTGAAGAGAGCACAGGAAACGGCACTTGCTCTCTTAAGAGTTCACTTTCCATGTCTCATTGAAAAAGTGATGGCTTGGGCCTCTTGTTTCAGGACAAACCCACACCAACTGTCATCTTATTCCTCCTGACCACAGCATCATTTCTGGCTGTACCAAGTGAGTATGACTGTACTGTGTCCCTCTGTGTGGCATGGACGATGTGATTATCAACCAGGGGGTGCATCCCTTGTTTCAGCTTGCTGAGTTGGAGCTGCAACATCCAGCTGTGGCTCAGTCTTTTATGACAGCAGGCCCACGTAGCTCTAGCTGATACCCTTCAGGAAAGCCTCCTGCGGTTGTGTAGGTGAGGAGCTCCTGGACTTCTGCGTAGCATCAGGAGCTACAGCTGCTCTGTTGGAACACCTCTGGGATGCTAACTTACACGCCGTACGTCCCTTATGAGGACAGCAGTCCATTGGCATCTGTCAAATCTTTTCTTGTAAAATGAAGCACTAAATGCTTTTGAATAATTCCTGGACTTGGTTAAGGGTCTGGCAACTCCTTATTCCTCTGTATAATCTGTTGGATATTTTAGACTGCCACCAGGCATCAAGAATTTAATTTCCCCTCAGCACAGATCTTCTGGGGCTAGGCACTGTGATCTGGGCAGTGTTTGCTTTCTGTGATCCCTGTTTCCAGGATTTCTGTCAGTTCTGAGCCATTCAACTTCAAAGTGAGGCTGAGGAGAACTGTCGTCTACAGATCCCAGCACTGCTCTCCAGCACACACTGTGAATACCCTTCTCTGTCTAAAACTGGCCATTATGGTGCTGGGATGCCTTTCTTGCTCAGTTCTGCCTTTCTGGATGAGTCCCTCCTTGGCTCATTGCAGAAGCCCAAGGGTCATGGCCTCAAGTGCCACCAGTGAATGTCTCATTGTGCTGGAAATCATGGGTGAGGAACACTGCTTGAGGAGGGACTTGTATACAGATCTAAATCCGAATAGGCAACTCCACCACAATCTTCTGTATCAGCAAGCTGATGATCCCCTGTGTGTCCCCCCTTTTTCTCCTCTGCACAAAACTGGACAGATGCACTGAGTAGTGGCATGTATCCTACCATAGTGGTCTGGGAAGTCTGTGCTTCTTGGGATGGAAAAACTTTGGAGGAAGGTTTTTGAGGTTTATTTTCCAGGACATTAGTTAGTACTGGAGGTTCCCTAAACCTCACCCCATTGCCCCAACTGCCACAACCCAAGCTTCAGGTTTGGCTTCTTTCTCTGTTCCTCTGGCAGGGGCAGGGGTGGCATTGAACGAAAGGGCCCTACTAGGGAGGGAACTAGCTGCAAGCTGAAGAGCACTCTGCTGATCCACAGCAACTACTGAGAACGTGGAGATGTGTGTCTGGCTGGGCTGTGGAGAGCCTGGCAGTCTGTCTGAGAGAGATGGGGAGGTCACAATGCATGTGACTTACTTGAAAACTCACTTTTTTTTTATACTCCTCCTGCTCTATTCTTCTTCTTCTTCCCTGCTTGCTTGCTTTCTAAGACAATACCATTTCCACAGCAACCAGCTGTGACCAAGCATGCAAAGGTAATTCTGTCATGCTCCACCCATGGTGTTTAACTAGTGTTGCACATAGGAGGACTAGTGCCTCTACGTTGAGCAATAAAGAGAGTCAGTAGATGAGCTCTCGAAAGCAGAATCTGCTTTTGTGCTAGTGCACTCTGAAGTAGTTTTCATTCTTAGTGATTTACCAGATACTCACAGTCTCTTGTTCCTGATTTACTAGGGAAAAGCTCTAAAAAAAAAACGTTTCCAAGTGATGCTGGACACTAATGTGATTGTTTCTGTCTCTGTGGCATGAGATCAAGTCTCTGGCTCCCATGAAGCTGGCAGCAATTTGAGCTTTGCCTTTGGGTAGATTAGGTTTATTTTTTGCACTGTTTCTTTCTGAGGTTTACACCCAGGACCATTCTGTCTGTACAGAAACCCACTGCTTTATGAGTTCTGTTCTTATCTGCTCAGTTCCTTTTGCGTGAGGCACTTAGCATTTGTGTGTTATTTTTCTTTCCTCAGAGAGGAGGAAGTGGCTCGGTTTCATGAGGTCATCACCAATCCCAGGTACAGAGCTAACCCCCTCACGACCATCAGCGAGCATCTCTCCAAGAGGCTGAGGCAGGAGGAAGAAGGTAAACCCCTCTAGGGCATCAGCTGGGACCAAATGTGCACACTGGAGCTGGTGCAAGGGCTCCAGGCTGCAAAGGAGCACATCACTAACATGACCTCTCAGCCACTTCAGTCCTTGGAAGCAGTTCAGCAGATTATTAAATCCAACAGTCCTGTTTTCTGTCTGCAGGAATAATGCAGTTCTCTCCTGACAGTGGCAGCTGCTCCTTGGCAAGCAGCCTGCAGAGAGCAGAGTGTTCTGCGAGATCTTTGTGCAGACATTAAGCTCCGTGCAAAGTATCTTGACACCTTTTCTCTTCTTGTGAGCAGGCACAATTTCTTAAATTGTGCCAGTGGCAATGTATCTGTTTTCTGTAGTTTCCCTCCCCTTTCTGACAACTCTGAAAAGAGATTCCCTATTGCTCTGTTGAGATGGGTCAAGACTCCAAGCTCTGGAGCCCAGAAGGCTGTTGTAGATCTGTGTAAGGACCAATGTTGCTGTTCAGAGACATTGTTTTATGTGAGAAATTTAGCTTTGGAATAAACACACTTTCACACAGTACTGAATTTGTCTGTCTCTTGTTTTGGTAAATACTAATTGAAATATGAGCTTATTCCCATCACTGGAAAAATTACTTAGAATGGGTTTTTTCCATGTGTACAGTGAACCACTAGACTGCTGCTGCAGCGTGCAACAGAAGCCATGTGAAATCGTTGCAGATCACGTCTAACTCATAGGCTTGCTTTCCTCCTACTCTGAAAGTGTGTGCTTTCCATGGGTGATGCTGATCCCTTTTGGCCTATGTTGTGTTCCCTGCTTGGCCTGCCCTAAAGGAAGCATCCCAAAACGTGTCCTGGCTGCAGGCTGTGAACTTCAGCCGGTCATTTATGTGTTGGGTTTGGAAACCACTGCAGTGGGGGGAGGCCTTTCCTTCTACCAAACACCAGTTTTCACAAAACTCCAGTCAATTTTTGTGGGGACAACTGAAGGCAGGGGTGTTCCCTATTTGAGATGATCCTGATTTGACACCCCAAAATGTCAGTGCTGTCTTTTGAACCATACAAAAAATTTTCTGATGCTTCTTAACCTTGGAAAAGCAGCCTGCCTATGTCAGGTCAACTCTGAGGAGCATCTGAAACCTTTAAGAAAGAAATTCACTCTGATGCCCAGACAGAACATGGAATCTGCAGCTGACTCTTACCCAAGTTAGTGCCTAAAACCAGCTGCAATGGGTGTGGCAGGCACCTTGACCATACCTGTCTCTTGCGTCACAGGTAGTGACAGCAGTAATGCTGCTTTTTTTTCTCTCTCTAGGCTGGCACCATTGAACAAAGGCAGTTTTTCTAATGCCTGCCTCTTAGCCCTGGCAGTGCAGATGCTGTTGCTGATGCTGCTTGTTGTTAGAGGAATGTCACTGTGCCACCCCTCCTCCCCCAAGGCCTGGCAGGAGAGTCCTGCTGGCAAAGGCCACACAGAGATGCTGGCTATGTCCCATCCTCCACCCTGTTGCTTTCGGACTGGCACAGGGCTGACAGGGCTCTCCTCTCCCCTGACGGCTCCTGCATCAGTGCTGGCAGGTGAACGCTGCTGTGCTGTTCGTCAGTGTGCTGTAATGCCCTGCGGGATCCAGGCTCTGGAAAGCAGAGAGCTGTGGTGGGGTCAAATAACTCTAGATATCTCCCCACCTCCTGGTTGGTTCCTGCTTGCTCTCTTACCGGTATCTGATTGTGTTTCTTTTAGGCTGTGTTGGATTTTGAGCTCTGAACGCCAGACCCAGCTGCAGCCATGCTCCCCCTGCTCATGTTTTGCAGGCTGGGCACTGCCTTGGAGAGCTGGGCCTTGGATGGGGCTGGGCACTAATGCAGGTCCTCCTGTCCGCAGCCTGCAGCTGCTCTGGCTGCTCATGGCTCCCAACAGCCCAAGATATGACTAAGACTTGGACCAAGCTAAGGTTTTTGGGGTGGCTTTCTCCGTAACCCCTTTACTCTGTCTCATAGCTAGCTGCCTCCTGAGAAAGGCGTCATCCTTGTGCTTAAATGGAGGGAAGGCAAGAGATGAAGAAGGTGAAGACAACCAAGTACAAAGGAGGATGAAGATTGCTCCTCTTGTTAGTAACAGGGCACTCGGGGATGGAGAAGTGTATATCTGGAGGGCAGGAGGGACAGAAGGCAGTTTGCGTGGCATGTTGGAGGACTTCTATTGCTTGTCTTCTGTACTTTGGAGGAGCTCCTTGTATTGCTGGGTCATGCATTGCTCTGCACCATCACAAATCAGTGCGATAGCTGGAGAGAAGCCACAGGCAAGTTTATAAAATGCCAATGGGTTGTGCTCTGCGGGTGGGATCATATCCCTCCCCTTGAAGATACATGCGGTGCATCATGACTGTCCTTTGCAGAGATCTGGCGGGAGTGATGATTTCATTCGACAAGCACCAATTTCCTGGGCACCATCTATTTTGCACAGAGCAAGATCATCCTTTAAAGCCTCTGGAGAGTTAGTTGGATTGTCCCACGCACCTCTGTTCCAGGCCAGTTTCTTAGTAACTTCTCCCTAGGGTGAAAATAAATCTGAAAGGCTATCAATTCCTGTCTTCCCAGACTATTTAGTTTTCTTTTCACAGGCGGTTCCAAGTAACTTTGAGTTGAATCAATGCTTGGATGGCCTGAACTGCAATGTTAGGGAAAATCCTCAGCTGGCAGAAGCGCTAGTTATAGGTAGGTGCTCAGGTAGATGTTGCTGTGGGTCATGTGCCAAGAGATCGCCGCCTTCTATCTCTAAATGAGTTCTGACAGGACTGTGTCCTTTTCTCATCCTGTGCGATTCTTTCTAAGAGGCCCTGCAGTTTGGGTGTAGAGTGGAAAAGGGATTTCTGTGTGCAAAACCAGGCTCTGAGCACTTTGGAGCCACAGAAAGCATCACCAGGGTGAAGGGCTCTGTGGTTTGTGTAGCTCTTCCACGTTGGCATCAAGACGGGCCATCCCCATGTCTCAGCCTCCATGTGGACTTCCCAGTACCTTTAGGTTGCCAGCTGTGGTGGTTATGGCCAGAATTGGGTCATTGGAAATTTGGATAGCAACAGCACAGTGATCCAGCACTTCTCCCCTGCTCAGCCTGGTTGCTGGGTCCCATCCTTTCCCTTCAAACCTCTGGGAGCCAATAGAGCTGAAGCCTCATTGGCCGGGAAGCGAAGGGGTGACTGACCAGGCAGAGGTGTTGAGCTGGGTGACCCCACTCAGTACTGCCTGGTAGCTGTACCCACGCTGGTGGCCCTTTATCTCCATGCACAGCATCACCGTGCAGCACATTCACACCTTTTCTTTACCTCGGATGGGCTGACGCTGTCACTTGGCTGTGTGTGTAGCTCTTAGCCTGCTGTTTGAATATGTTGGTCTCCTGCATATTTAGCAGCAGTTAAACATGTGACTCTCTGAAACTACAGTTCACAGCCTGCTGCTGCAGGCATCTCCTGCCCCCACCATCCTAGCAGTTGAGCAAAGGACTTAAAATCTGCCAGGAAACAGGCGTCTGAGACACAGAGTCGCCTTCGCAGTTGGCATGTTTTCAGGATGATAAAAGCTTTCACGCCAATTTTTTTTTTAGATAGCAGGGTGGGAAAAAATAGCTTCCAAGCTGTAAGGAGTAGTTGTGCCAGAGGGGAAGGCGGGGGCCCGACCCGGCAGCTCTAGACTTAGCAAGAAGTGAGTAAGCAGCGAATACACTGCAAACTCAGGACTGGAAAAATTTGGGGCTACTTGCGCAGCTGTTTTCTTTCTTGCTGGTGATTTTGCCCTTGAAAGCTGTTCACAGAACTGTGTCTGAAAGCAGAAGCTTGGGTATCCTGTCCATCTGGTGGTACCAGCGGATATTTTCTGCTACACACAAAGCACCCAAAGTGGTGGGTGGAAGGGGATTCTCGTTTACCAGCAACTCATGGGTAGTGTCTTTGGTTGGCAGGTTGCAAAGGGATTTTTTTTATAGCAGCTCTTGCAACTCCCATGTTTCTCCCTGGTGCCGGCGATGGCCCATCGTGCTTTATTTCTGTTGGAGCAGGGGTTGCATCACTCCAGCAGCATGTCTCAGAAAAGCATGGTGAGTCACACGGAACTGGCCCCAACCCTTCGTCTAACCCAAGGAAGTCCCTAGTGCAACTACGTAGAGTCCCTCCTCCTTCCTTCTGCTTTCTGGCTTGTCTGCCCTGGAAAGTTTTCCTTACAGACCTTGTGCAAGCAATTCCCCCTATCCCCTTCGTGTATGGAAAATACGACTTACGCTGGGTAGAGAGTACTTTTGCTTACGCTCTGGTTGAAGCTATGAGCTGTGTTGGCCCCATGACTTTCTTTTTTTCCTAGAGCTAAGCATATGTGATGGCTTTTGCCAGCATAACCCCTGCCAGCTCTGGCACCAAGGCACATGCCTGTGCTGCAGGTACTGGTAGGGTGGAGCTGGCTGCCTCTGCAGCTGCCAGGGAAAGCTTGTGGCGGCTGGGGGTAGGCAGGTGAGGCCAGCGGACCTCCCAGGTTTGCAGGAGTTTTGCACCCAGGGAGTTTTGCACCTGGGAGTTTTGCTCCCAGGTTTTGCACCAGGCTGGGTGCCAAACCGGCACCCAGCTGGCAGCAACTTGCCATGCCAGCATGTCGTCTGGTGGCCCATGACTAGGAACCCATCCCTGGAAGTGCATCCCCTCCTGCCCCCCAGGTGGACTCAGACCTCAAATACAGTCTGTAATGGGCTGCAAAACCAGTTAATCCATGCTGCTTCAGTTGAACTGGCTTTGTCAGTAAACGCTCTGGGATGGAGCGTTGGGCTGATATAGAGAAATCAGGGGCAGTATTGCTGTTGCAGGGTATAGACAGGACAGCGTTTGTAAGTACTGGTAGTACCTTTTCTTGGATGACAGGAGGGTTGCCGCTGGCGCCGCCTCCTTCATACCAACACCAATTTGCGGAGGAGAGGAATGGGAGCATGACAGATTAATTTGCTTTCTCCTGAGTCTTGCTGAGCCAGTGAAGAGATCCCAGGACTCACAGGGACGCTCT